TCGTGTCGATTTATGATTCATTGCAAACGTAGATTACCGTATGAAAAGTTGAATATAATTAACGAGGACTGGTGAAAAATTGTCACAAAGAAATTTTTCTATTTGTCCCTTTTGTTTCCTTTTTCTATTTGTCTTTGGGGCGAGGTTGGTCGAATTTTGGTTAATTTTGAAAGACAAATATTAAATATATTTGTCTAATCTTCATAACTCCAATTGGTTAATTACACATTTTACTCCAGTATTATACGTGTTTCATAAACCATTTTTTACTCTCTGTGTGGATAGATAGGGATAGAGGTGAAAATAGATTGTTTCCTGTATATTTTTCGATGGTTCCGTTTCATATGATTTATTATTTGCAAATTTTTGTACCGCAAGATTGCAAAAAGATTCTATTGATTGTTTTGAAATAGAAATGATACTAACGAATGTTAGAAATAGATACTTTTTGGACAAAGAATATAGTGGAACTATTAAAAGTTAATAATATATTGAATTGTACCGTTGGTCAGAGGGTGATTCGAATTTAAAGGTTGTTTATAGAAACAGCGGAAATGTGGTGAAATTTCGGATTTTGTAAACTCGATATGAGTTGCAAAATATCCAAATCAGATATTATTCGAAATAAATGATGTTTTACATACACCAATGAACATATAATTTTTAATATGACGAACACTCAGTTAGGTATGTTTTATAATTTTTATCATTTTTTGCTTATAATTAAGAATTTGCATTATATTTCAATTTCGTATTGTGATTTCCATATTATATTTTCAAATATAATTTTGGTCACTAATTTCATTAATATTAAATTATTTTGAGGGTATTAAATTATAATCGGTCTCTCATATTTAATTTCCACATTCTAATCATACTGGAACCAGTAATTATAATTATGAATTCTATTTATCAGAGTATTTATAGAATCAATTATTGTAAACTAAAATTATTTCATATTTTCATTCTTTCCGATTTATTACTGTAAGGATAAGAATTGTATAAATTTAATTTTTCATTAAACAGAAATTTAGAATTTCTTTTCTTTTTTCAAAATTAAATTTATGATGCTAAAACGTTTTTATAGTATTTCATAGTTCTGAACTGGAGTTCTTAGATAGCATTATCCAAAAGTTCACAGAGTGCAAAGTATTAAGCTATTGCGTTATCGTGTAGTAATTGAACCTTGTTAGTACGTGTAACACACGAATCTTCCACTTAATATTGAATTTTAGTTTAACCGATGGTCTCTGTTAGATTTATTACGAAAGATATTGAATCTATCCCTCTTCCCTTTTCATGTTCAATCTCTTTACACAATATCAATCCCTTGCCACAATATCTCTTGGGAAACGATAACATAACCGAGTTTACAACCAAATAAACTTATATTATACATAGGAATCGAGATTTTAATTTCGATAAAACTCTCGAAGCACGCGATAAATATGTGAAAAATACGGTGTGTGTGCGTAATACTTTTTTGTGATACGCAGGACACGCCAGGTGACCGCCCTATTGTAGCATTTCCTTACAATATCGACGGTACATCGTTACGAAGTGGGCCGCAGTTTGTATAATGCAATGGTCGATCGCGAACTCTGTATTCCTGCAATATCCTTTTATGGGAAGAATCTCTTCCGTCGAGGACTAGGAATATACATCTTGCAGTGGAAAATGGACGACGACGTTTTGCCTTAAAGGATGCCCCATAAGTAATACTTTCAAAGGACAGCTAGTTTGATAAGCAACAATAAGATCATATACTGATAACGGATATAGCTGGAAGAAGTATTCTTCGTACTTGACATTTATTTTTCGACTTATCTTCTTTATTGCAAGTTACGTAAAAGCTTGACGAAATATCACGGAACTAAATGTTGCATGCTGTTGTAAAACGTCTCGGTCATGAAATGATAAATCATGTTACAGAGATTTCCTTTCAGAGACGTTCAGCAGAGAGTTACGTTTCAGACACAGGAGTCGTTATTAAAGCGTATCACGAAAGCTGTAGAATCTTCTTGCAGGATATTTATTTCTGGCGATATTTAATTTCAAAAATAGCGTGCAATCTATGAACGGTATATTTTGTTGTTATTTCCGAAATTCATTGTTTCTAATGAAGTTCAGTCTTGGTTTGTTTATTTTTTGTTATGTAACACTTTACTAAAAGCCTGCAATCTATTTTATAATAAATGTCCAATACTACTACTAAATATCGTCAATCTTTTCTATAATCACTGTGATATTTTATTCTTTACGATATTTTCGCGATAACGTATGCAGACGTATTAAAATGTGAACGCAGTTATTTATAATTTTTTTTACAATTATTCTGTCGAATACTTCATATCTTATTATATTTTGTTCGTTCTATAGTACTCAACGCTTGCTCATAGCAAGCCGAAAAGATTAGATTTATATTTTTGAAATGAGATTAAAAAGCTCTAAAAGAAGCAAACAAATCGTTATTATTATTATTATTATTCGAAAGATGAAATCATTGATATTTATTAATAGTTTTCCTTAATTTGTGTTTACAGCTGGGTTTCTTCACATATTATACGGTGGCGATGGGAGAAGTAAATCCTTCGGGGCCGGTACCAATCGACAGTGTTTTCATTTATAGACCAGACAAACGTCTCGAGCTCTGGAGGTTTGCGTTCTACATGTTCCTTCATGCTGGGTAAGTACCATTCAAATATCGAAAATCAGAATAATTTCTCCTTTTTCTTTTCTCTCTTTTTCTTCATTTAAAATGTGACAACAGTTCTGTCCGTTTAAATAAGTACGAGTTACCTCCATTACCTCCTGTACTTGCTGTCCCGAAACAAATCTTTGTGAGTAAATGGATGAACTGATAACAATATTTATTGAACAGTATAACAACATAACATAAATTATAATTAAATCACATAAAATAAATTCGCTTCTCACTGCGATATAATCTATTCAGGATTCTCTCTCACACACGTCTATTTCTGATGACTGTCATTCACCCCTTAATTGTTTTTCACGATTCTCTGTCATACTCGTCACACACAAACATTCCTCACACTTATGCCAAACATTCCTCACATTTATACCAAACATTCTATGACAACCACTACCACAATCTTGACCTTGTTTGTGATCCGTATCGTCTAACTCAACTATTAATAAATCAAGAAAGATAATGATTTCATATCTTTTATTTTATTGTTCTATAATTACTCTAATTGAATTATTGAGATTTACAAGGTCGAAATAATACTAAAAAAGAAATACTATATTTGTAATTGATTAACAAATTGTAAGTTTGTTAAAAGTACCGTGTTTAGATATGAACTCTGTAAGATAGAAAATAGAACTGATAAACGGTATATTATTGCATCTCATTCGCATACCTTGTTTCTCAATTTATCTCTCAATGTATTCACGATAGATAACAGCGGTCGATTCGTGGAACTCTAGCTCTTAGAATAAGTGACTCGAGTTCGGGAGTACACATAGATGTTTAAATAGACAATACTGTGTATGAAGTGGGTGTCAGTTAGATAACAAACCATTGCGCAGGTAATTAGACAAGTGGTGTAAGTAAGTAATCTAAAAGAAAGAAATTTATCACTTATATCTTTTGTATCTGTTTATATTACAACGTAAAACCATTTTTATAAAGTAGTGGAATATTGAATTTTTAAGTTGAGCTTGCAATTTTTTCATAATTTATTTTTCAATTTGTCCAAACATCAAATTTGTAATATTACGGAATTAAATATATGCGATTTGTAATTAGAATTGCTTTCTTATTTTCGACACAAACTTGTGGTAAGTCTAATAAATTTTAATTTTTTAATGAGACAGTATACCTACCTGTGCATTTTAAACCCGAAATACTAATGAAGCGTGGAATGTTTTATCAGCTTTCGTTACAAATGTCACTATTTTATTTTGAAGCAAAAATAATTATTAAATATTTTTAGAAGATTTATCCGAAGACTATAACAGAAGTATAGATTATGGGGCGATGGATAAATTTGAATATTACTTATATAGGTGATTGGAAAACGGTTTAGCATATAAAAATAAATGTATAAGTTTTCTTTATATCTCGTATTTTTATTATAACGCTGTAAATAAATTAAAAAATTAAGATTTATGGAGAAAGTTAATATAAATGCGAAATTATTTACCCGTTTTTCTTAAATTTATGGTAGAATTATTGCATGAAATTATGTACAGTTCTTATAATTTGTGTACTAATATAATTTACTTTTAACAAAGTATTTGAAATAACATAAATGCATTCAAAGTAAAATGTTGCTTTACCATGGGCATTGAATGTTATATTTACAAATATACAGTGACGAACATATACATAAATATCTACTTATTATTCATCTGATTACATTGTAATTCTATCGCCATGTTTATATTTTTTCTTATATTTTCAACGTATAATTAAATATATTTAAACATTCCTATTTTAAACTGAATAATAAAATAGACGTAATTAAGAAATACATGTATATCGATGTTTAACAAAATAGTACAATTTATTTAGTTATTTAATCGGTTTATCTTTCCTATTATTTCACTATATTTACGAAACATGAAATCGGTTAAACGTATTCAACGTTTGACAAAAATTGTAATCCACGATTTTTCCATCGTTTAACTGGTCTTTCTATATCATTTCACAATGCTTCAATAGGATTTAAATCAAGCGATTATGGCAGTTACGTCATTACATTAGCATTAGAATCAATCAAAAACTGCTTCACGTGACATTATCTGCTTGAAATGTCTGATCACTTGATGGGTTGTTATTAACGAATGAAAGTTATCGTACATTGAATGTGTCAATGTAAATGGATTGACTCATAATTCCGTTTATAAATCGGGTTTATTAGACCAAGATTATTGGTATCCATTTTCGTAACCATGGTAATAAAGCTTCGTCGATTCGTTCCATTAATTTTTCATTAAGCTTTTCGTCCACACGATGTGTAACATCTGTCCGAAGAACTGACACCTGAGCTAAAGAAATTAAATTTTCGTTCATCGGTAAAAATGACATGATCTCATTACTCTTGAATTCAGTTGATACATTCTCTAACGAAGTGTAATCTTTTTTGACGAACATTTTACTTTTTCCTTTTCTTGCTGATAAATGATTTCCTTTAGATCGTATTCATTAACACTGTAATTACCACGACCGGTCAAATGACCAGTGGATGAACACGTGAGAAAAGAACCTCGTGAAAAATAAAATAAGAGAAAAATTAAAATATTCATTATATGTACATTAGAAGAAAATTCGCAAACTGAATTGACCAAAGTGGCATCGTTGAATGTGAAATTTTTAATCAAAAGTTTAAAAACGGTCATTTTAAACCATTTAAATATGGTTAATCTATAAATTGTCAAAGGATGCGAATATTAATTTCCATATTGTTGTGAAATAAAACGTAATTACATTTGTCGACTGTTATACTTAAATGATTACTTTTACTTAGAAAGTTAATGGATTTAGCGTTCGGTGTATGAAATTTTTCTTCCTGGTTTAAGAGTTCATATGGTACTACAAAATTTATCGTTCTGTTCAATATATTTCGAAACTGGGTGACAGGCATGAATAGAAGTATTTAACTGATTTACAATTTCACGGAGTGTTGAATTCTGGTCACGTAATCATTGGATTTCTTATCTCTGTAGGAGTATATCTGCTACGATCCATTGCTGAATATACATGCGTTTCTTTATTACAAAATTCGCAAAACGCTACTTAGATAAAACAAGTTACACGATAATCTTGTAAAATGTCGAAATGTACGTGTAGTATAAAATATGTTAAATGAATGACAACGATTATAGTACTGTTTTCACATCTGTAGAGGAGAATATGCGATTATATAGTGCCGTTAAAAAAATTTACCGAATGAAAAATGCTGGACAGAAGAAAATTCACTCTACTATTCGACCTATGTTTAATACTTCCAGAATGCAAATATTTTTACTTCTTTCATAGTCTGAAATCAAACTAATGTATGCGTATTGGTTTTCTCTATTTTTATCCTGACCACTGCACACATCATTTTAGAATCAGATTTCGACGAAAATTTATTCTATACGTAACGAGCGCATTTTTGTAATTCCTTTTAAAATGCTATAATAAAATTATTATAATGCTATAATAAAATTATTACATTTTGTAATTCCTTTTTAAGTGCTATAATAAAATTTTATCTATAAGAAAAAGACGTTTTTCAAATTTTGCAAATTTTAATTTTTCGTTGAACTTCGTTCTCAAACTATTGTCCGAAGAACTTTTAAATTCGTATTTATCGCTGCGTACTTTTTCTGCATTTAATTATTAATATTCCGCATATTATATTTATATTTAAATATTAAAATCCTGCATTTTTTATTTACATTTAATTATTAACATTTTTATTTGACCTATTTATATTTTTATTTATATATTATATCGGAAATTACCATCCGTTTTTTTTTAGAGAACGAGTTAAAATATTAAAATACGTATTATCGTTCGTCAACCTTAATTACGTTGATATTAATCGAGATCCTTTGTAATACCGATTAAAAAGCAACATACTAGCGATGTTGTTTGGCGTACGGTAAAATAAAATGATAAAATTAATGACATCGTAATATACGATCGAGTTTCATTAGTGTCTGCTTCATCATGACGCTACTATTTTTAATATTAAATGGATATTCGTTACGTTTGACTGCGAAATGAAATTTCTCACGTCGATTATTGGAAAATGCGGAAATTGAAATTCACGTCGCATTTGTTAAAAATGTCGCGGAAAATTCGCGTTTCAGGATCATTTAAATCTCCGGTTATGTTTCTTTGACAAATGAAACCTTTGTACTGACTGAAATCGTTATTTATTGCAAGTTATGACTTTCCTTTTAAGAAAAATATTCGTTTATGGAAAGTGTTTTAGCATTGCATTGTATTCGTGCCATAATGCTACAATTGTTTCTATTTTTGTGGCAAAATCAAAGCGATACATTTTGTTTATTTTAATAGTATACTCGGACACCAAGGAAGTAAATGACTAAAATCAAATTATCCTAATTTTTTACCAAAACATATGATACAATACGCAGTGAATCATTAGATTCTTCTATTTAAATTTATTTTATATCTTTACTCATTTTATGTATAGCGAGGTTGTAGATGAAATTCCTAAAGATCGACACTGATCGATATTGCTGCATTCAGGACTATAGCTTCGAATTTGATAATCGAAAATTGATAGAGAGTGTAATCGTATTACTGTTGGTCATTGTTTTGTTTCATGCCTGACTGTTTTTACAATCGCCTTGTATAGTGGGTTCCTACTATACTTATGAATTGTTTATTATGCGAAAAAATGTTTTAAACCAAAGTCATTTGGCATCGAAGCATACCTACAACATAATTAGTTTTTGTTCATTTTCTTTTTTTTTTTATCGAAATGTGAAGGTCATCTTGAGTCTTTTTGAAGCTATACCATGTAACTATATTATTGAATTTTTAATCCATATACCTTAGCAACCCTCTTCTTCGTATTAAATACGCTTTCATATCTCATAATCAAATGATAGAAAAGCGGAATAACTAGAATTAATTATTGTGTTACATGCTACCCTCGATATGAGATGACTGTTCTCTGAACATTTTTTCGTGTA